TGTTTAATTCAAAGATAAGCACATGCTAAACCCTGCCAAGCAACCAGGCATCTATCACATTTACTGTATGCTCCTTACTCCTCGTTACATTTGTAACAGAGGATTGTGTGAAAAAAAAGCTGGTTGCCATGTAATCTGGCTCTAAAAAGAACAGATAGAAAATATAAATGATCTGTTACTAAGGTTGAGTTTATCTTTTGCCCTTTTGCCCCCATTGAGCCATAGCATTCACATTATATTTCTCTGTATGCAAAATACATGCAAAATAACATGTTACTGAGATGCAGCTGAGCCTTCTGCTTCTTGTAATCCGGTCTCTTCTGCTAGATATTGGGGTTAACAGACAACTATATTTTAATACTGGGGGTCCCCGGTTCGAATCCTGGTCAGGATACTATTTGAATGGAGTTTGCATTTTCTTCCTATGCTTGCATTGGTTTTCTCTGGTTACTTCAGTTCCCTCACACACTCCAAAGACATGCTGTAAGGTTAATTGGCTCCTGTCCAAGTTGGCCCTGTATACATGTGCAAAAGGATCTTAGATTGTAAGCTCCTTGAGGGCAGGGACTGACGTGTTTGTGCAGTATCTAAAGTGCTGTATAAAAATTGTTAATGCTATGTAAATATCTGAAATAAATAAAAACATAAATAAAACCATGTAAAGTATAACCTCCAACACAGACTTCAGATTACAGTTACACTTTAAACCTTTCCTTTGTCATGTTTTATATTTTTTGGTGAGATGTTAAGGCAAGAAATATGCCCTGTTCATTATCTATGCATTATATTTTATTGTATATTTTTTATACTTTTAGAGGCCTTGTTTAAATACTGACAGTGAAACTCTTCACCTACAGTACAGATGAGTTAATGACTAAATAGCATGGGCAAAAAATTGTTTGGAATCTTCTGCCATATCTTGCTGTTTGAAATAAGTAGATTAGATGCTTTCTCAGTATTAGGACAGAGATGGTAAAGATATCTGAACAAAATTCAATTTCACAAATTGCTTTACAGATTTCCTAGTCCAAGCTTGTGTATTAAGTTAATAGCTGGGTTGTCTGTACCTTTATAACTAGGACATCTGTATGGACAAGAATGAATGATCTAGAGCAGATCGGATTTTGGAGAATACCAGACTAAACCATCCATTAGTGATTCATAATATGAATCACATAAAATATCACTAATGGATGTTGTAGCATCTGCTTAGTTCAAGCCTTCAGGTTAGCACGTTCCTGCTTTTTGTTTCCCTTGCATATGAACAGCAATATGAGTCAACACGTGGGGTGCTGTGTATGACAATATTATTACATAAGAGTGCTTCTAAACATATACTCCTAAAAATGTATTAAATCCATTAGATACCCGATTAGAGGTTAAACAAAAGCTGCTGAGTGCAAAATATAGACTGCCTTTTATTCTTCACACAAGCATCTTGGTTAATTAGCCCTTGAACAGCATAATGTTTATTAAAATAGGTTATTATCATTTTTTTCTTTAATAAGCCTATGAAAGCTTTGGAAATCAGATAATGGCACAGAAAAAAGGATATGAAGGAAAGATAAACAATGCTGTTTGGTGTTCAGAATATATTGTGTGCACACAAAGAAGAGTAGCAGTCAAGCTTGAGAACTATGACCTCATGGGGCCAGGAACAATTGGAGGCTCTGCACTTTCACAGTTGGACCTTACTGAAGAAGTGGCATGCATTCTACAGGAGCTGACTTGGAAAATGCAGGTCTAATTCATGCTAACCTTTCCAGCACTGGCAAAAAAATGCAAACATCCAGCACAGGAAACCAATAAATGTCATGCAGGCCCATGTTTCTATAACAACTA